ACCCTGAAGAGGGTATAGAGCTGGTCCAGTGTTCCACGGCCAGGACAAAAACCGCATTGTTCCTCCTGAATCCGAGGTTCGACTATCGGTCGAATTCTCCTCTCCAGTACCCTGGCATAGACTTTCCCGGGGAGGCTGAGGAGTGTGATCCCCCCTATAGTTGGAACACACCCTCCGGTCCCCCTTCGTGAAAAGAGGGACCACCACCCCGGTCTGCCAGTCCAGAGGCACTGTCCCCGACCGCCATGCGACGTTGCAGACGCGTGTCAACCAAGACAGCCCAACAACATCCAGAGACTTAAGGTACTCAGGGCGGATCTCATCCACCCCTGATGCCTTGCCACCGAGAAGCTTCTTGACTACCTCAGTGACTTCAGCTTGGGTGATGGACGAGTCCACCTCATCGGAAGCATACACCATTATTTTTTTCAGTAGAGAAAGAAAATAATCATACAGAGTCTGGCCTAAGACTTGTGATTTTTACCCACCAGGAAGAACAGTTCATAACACTAGGCATCAACTACATTTAATATGCATCTTTATATCAGAAACATGTATCATCTCCCAAACCTAAGGACTAAATCAGCTCCAGTTTACTGCATTGTCTCCATTAACAACAAAGGGCAACACACACAAAGCCTGAGTAGGTTTTCATGTGAACCAGAGATCAGAAGCTTCTGTGTTCCAATTTGTTCTCACTTACACAGACATGAGATGAAACTCTTGTGTAACAAGTCTTTCATCATAATAACAAACAGCACCTAATGGAGTCACTGTGTATTACCAACACCATAACACACCCTGCCACGTACTGTACACATACACAAACACAAAGGTAATTTGAAGAAATGAGTGGTTTTACCACACTATAGTGGCTTCATCATGTTCACGTCACTCCTGAGGAGGCCACACATCCCCTCACTTACCACGGCAGCATCACAGGAGCACTAGAGCCACCACAGGCCTCACTCACTTTTGTTTGTACACAGGACATCCCATTTAAAGATGCAGTCTTAAGGACTCCCTAGTGGGGTAGGAAGGGAATGATGCGTTCCCTTTCTTTTGAACATCTAGTTTCCATTGCTACATTGGTCATGTTTTCCAGTGTCACACAGCCCATACATACAGTAGTTTACAATGAGAATGATTAACTAGCCAGTTAAGTAATTATGTATTGATTTTTGGACAGGTATAATAGTTGGTAATCTGATCACAAAAAGTCAGTTTTAAAACTTTAAAACTTTGCTAATGCATTACATTATTACATAATTTATATTTATTAACAGATGAAACATTATAGATATTTTCAAACTGCATCATTTGAATCTTAGCTGAAAGAAAGGTGTTGTATCTGTCCTCACCTCCCTACAGTATTTACTTTTGCATCCTTCTGGTACTAATACATGGCTTTATTTTAGTCTTGTTGTCCTCTGTGTGTAATTAGAACAAGGCACCCTGCACACAAGATGTCTGCAGGCTCCAAATATAGATCAGTGAAACAAAACACATTTCATGCACTTCTGTTTGACACTACTACAACAAACCCAATGAAGCTGCATGTAAAATATATTGTGGTATATGGAAACCCTTTTACATGTGGACTGCTAGTCACATTACTGATTTTGACATATGAGGAGATGCATATTAAATTAACAAAGACAAACCAGAAGGACAAGACAGCATATAGACATACTGATGGTTAATCACACAATGTGTACATTTTGTTCTTTATCACTTTTTGTATATGGAAAACAGTCCACACATTAATCTCATTTGGATAATGACGCAAGTCTTAATTAGACACAGTAGAGTGCTGATTTTGTTAGAATCCCATCTTGTGAAATAATGTAGTGTATTTTTAGAGCTAGGTTGCAACACCAGCATGATACTTTTAAAATATTTGTGTCAGTATTCTACAGATGTCAGTGTACAGCAAAGGTAAACAGTGAAAACTAAAGCAACGTGACTCCGGGAGCTACTGTGCAGTTTGACTGATTATGTTCAGGAAAATTCTTGCTAATGTGTTTTGTATCTGCTGCTGGCCTTGCAGGCTCTGTGAGTCATGCATGCTGGACCCTGGATGTGGTTTCTGTTACCGTGAGAACAGCTCAGCACTCCTCACCTCCTCTTGCGTTCCAGTCAATAAGGCCTCCAATGAGCGTGCAGCATGGGGCAGGTAAGTCTCAGGATACCACACAAGTGTGTGTATGTGTTTAGAACAGAGGATCAGAATATATATTTAAAAAAAATTCCCCACTCACCCCCCACTTTGGGGCGGTCTTGTATGCCTTCCTTCAAGCTCGGGTCCTCTACCAGAGGCCTAGGAGATTGAGGGTCCTGCGCAGTATCTTAGCTGTTCCTAGGACTGCACTCTTCTGGACAGAGATCTCAGATGTTGTTCCTGGGATCTGTTGGAGCCACTCTCCCAGTTTGGGGGTCACAGCCCCCAATGTTCCTATTACCACAGGGACCACTTGTGCCTTCACCTTCCACATCTTTTCTAGCTCTTCTTTCAGCCCTTGGTATTTCTCAAGCTTCTCATGTTCCTTCTTCCTGATGTTGCTATCACTTGGGATTGCTACATCTATCACTACG